AAAAGTTTGGCAAGAGATGGTTGCTGTGATAAGTGAACTGGTTTGTTATCAACATTTGGGAATTCAAGAAAAAGGTAGCTGTGACTCAGTTGAAAAGGAACTGAGTAAACTCATGCAGCTAATAATTCTGTTTTGTTATAGGGACAGAAACATTTATTTATTTGTTCCCAAGACTAAATTTTGCTAGTGTAACAAGAAGTTATAAATCCTTAACTGCACATGGCTTGCAACTTTTCACCTATACAGTCTCATGGAGAAAGTTCTGGTTCTGTCATCCACCGTCTGAATTCCTCAAAATTCTGCCCAAATTTCTTCTCTTTACATAAAATGTCAGTCGTTCTCTGCCAGCCCACTCTGTCTTATTTAGATATTTATTTAAAGTATGAATATCTAAGGCCCAGCTCTGTATTTGCTTATGTCTTTATACTATTCCTGGAAGAGTGGGCGTCCCAGTTTTAGGCATGGCTCCTGGGTGGATACTGCTGAGCTGTAAGTAGCACATAATAGGACAGCCGTAGGACAGTCATCAGATAGTCCGTATTTTCTGCTGACTAAACATTTATGTTCTCTTCTTCCTTAACAATGAGTAAGAAAATGGTACATCTTTTCCTTAGGGCAAATTGACAACTATTTCTCTTTTTCAGAAGGAAAACCTGGGCAAGTTTAGATTTGTTAGAAACTTCAATATATACTTCTCTTTGCTGTCTTTTTGTCTGTGTGCTTTCTCAGTCCCTGTTAAGAGTCTGTTCTGGACAAAACATTAGGAAATTTAACCTGTACCAGCTACTTTGCTCAGTACAGAGGTCATTATCACGCTTAGTAGTTAAGACAGAAAACTGGCAAGTAGTAGTTAGGTTTCTGTCCAAGTTACGCTCCAAGTGATGCTGAACTGTATCTCGCTTCAACCATCTATAAATTGGAGTAACATCTCTATCACAGTGTTGAGTTTAATTAACTAATAATTATAAAGCATTATGAAATTGCTTTCTGTCACTACAGCTATAGCAGAATTCAGCCAGCGTAAGGTGATTTATTTTCTTGGAGGTATTTTTAGTTTATCTTTTTGTGTTTCAGCCACACACAAGTGATAGTGCTTGTGATAGGGAGGGGAAATCTCTTCTTCCTGTCAGTCTTCTTAGAGAAACCTGACCTGTCTCGTTAAAAATAGGGTGCCCTTAAAGAGATGGACTGCTTGGATGATCATTCTTTATAAGCACTATTTAGCACAGGTATCATCATGCTGTTTCCTCAAGAAAAGAAGTGCTACATCAGTTGAAAAAAGATGTCCAAGGGTACTAATTATGCAGACAAAAGTACAAATGGGCCAGATATCTTAAAAAAAGGAGTGAGAGAATGACTACTTCGGCAGCCTCTATTTAGTATACGTTGCATCTTTCCTTCCAAATTCATCTTGGAGCTTCTCTTTTTCTTCTATTTAGAGGTCTTTTTTCTTTCTCTGTGTTTCCTGCAGAAGAAATCAGTGGTCTTGCACACGCTGCCAGGTCCTCCTGCTGTCAGTGTTGTTTTCTGGGCTCGGCAGCATGTATCAAGGCTAATCAGTGGTGCTTTTCTCCAGGGAGCGCTCCCTAGCTGAGCCTCGGAGAATGGCTCTGCATCCACCCGGCCAATTTCTCCAGATTCTGCTTGGTTTCACACTGAGCATCTCCAGGTAGGGTTTGAACGTAAAGGATCAGGCTGAAGATGCCGTGTTAAAATTAAGCTATTTAGTTCAAGGAATTATAATGAAAAAACTTCCTAGTGTGTATTTCTGGGAATCTGTAGAACATGTAGGGAGTTCTGCTCCTCACTTCCCCCAAATTAAAGAATAAAACTACAAATCAAAAAGTGAATTTTGAAGTAAAAGCGCATGTGCCAAACCTAGCACTGCAGTCACTAGTGCCATGCACAAGATGACCAAAAAAACCTCAAACAAAAACCATCAACAGAATAAAACCAAAAATAGGGTAAGAGGGAGAGCAGTTTGCATTGAAGGCTGTCACTTCATCCTTCACTCACTTTGTGGTTCTCAGTCCCTCTGGGATAGTAAATATTTAACTAAAGTAAGTTATTTCATCTTAATGTTATGCCTCAGGAGTGTTTGTAGATCACTTTCAGTGTGCTGAATCTTAATATGGAGTGGGCTTCTCTTTTCATGGGTTGAAAACAGAAATGGTTTTCCAGCTGCCCACTGGGTGTGGAGACCCTCAAAGGGCAAACTCGGAGTAAATGAGAGTGGAGACAATTTCTCTGGACTGAAAGCTGTCATTTCCCCAATTGCAAAGCCCTGTCAGCTTTATACAGGGATTGTGGAAAACAACAAATGAAATGCTCTGCAACCAAGATGCTTGCTTCTGTTCTGTTCTTTTAAAACACAGTGTATTTTTTCTGATACAATTATTTGAGTAATACAGTTAGTGAATAGAATTACATTTTATTTTAAAATTTTAGTCCATAAGCATTTTCTGTCTCTCATTTGAAAAACACAAATTTAAGAAAAATAACTTAATCAGTGTCAACTCTTGGTTCAAGTTAATGGGATTCCTTTCCAGCCATGATCTAATTTCAATAATTAATTTACATCAGGGTATCTCTTCTGCATGAGAATTATCTTGACAAATAAACCAGTGTGTTCCAAATAAGTAGCCTACATTCCTGTACTCTACCTTCTTTCTACAGCTATTTTGGATTTAAGGTTCCAGTTATATGTGCTATTTCCCTCTTTTGGCTTGTTCTACCACACCTAATACTGTCTCGTTAAATAAACAGAGCAGGTCAAACTGCTTGAAATTATGTGTTTGTTTTCTGTGGCTGTAGCTGTTTTTTCCCTGAGAATTTTCCCTGTACAGCTTGAATCAAATGACACAACAGCTGAGTAGTAGATTTGCACTAAAGGACTGCTTAGCAGTTACGTCATTTGGAAGAACACGATCATTATGAGCAGTAAACCACTCTCTCCATCGTGTAAAAGGAAAATGTGAGCCTAGAGCTAGTTACATCAGCTTGTGAATATACTTGGTGCATAGGAGGCGGAACAGAACCATTACATGGCTTTGTATGTCACCCTCAGTGCAATGCTGTGCTAGGGGTGTTGTCATCACCACAATCTTGCATTTCACTGGCCTTAAGTAAAGCACAATAATATCTGTCCTCTGCTTTACATTCATTTTCCACCTTTTTCTGTCTTAGAGAAGCAGTAGAACACGGTTGTCAATCCACAGCCCTGCCTTTATTTCTAGAGAGAGAACAAAGGACATGTTGGAAAGATGTATTTCAACTGGTTTACATGTCATTTGACTGTTGCCCAATCTGCCCTCTTCTTCTATAAATAATGAGTAAACAACACATTATAAAATATCTGTGTTGCTTGGGTGCCTTTCAGCCTTTCATGATGGGGAATAACAGGTTGAAATCCTGGGAAGGTCTGTAATTTTTTGTTTGTAATAAGAAAATGCCATTTAAATCTGGAGGACAAGAGGGAGAGTGCCTTGAGCAAACGGTAACTATCTGTTGCTGAAGATTCTGACAAGTTTAGGGGTTTATTTTGCATTAGTTCTGATTGAGTTCTTAGGTAACTCTGAAGTTCAAGTTTTTGTGGGAAATGTTTCCTAAATAGAAATATTAGGTCACTTAAGGGTTGATCTTTCCTAAATTTCCTTTCAGATTTCGTTTCTTCAGTTAGGTAGGTAACAAAGCCCTTCTGATGCCGACGCCGTGGAGGCAGTAGCTGAGGGCACTGTCAGTCAGGGCTAATCTCTCTGACGACTCAGTGCTGGCCTTCCTTCATACCCCAGGAACTATGGCACCCTCAAAGCTTCTTGACACTTTCCTTCCAGGAACAATTCTATTCTTAAATTATGAATCTTACTAAGGAATTCCCGAATGCAAACTGGGGGAATTCCCAGTAGGTTTTGAGACACCGAGTTATGAGCTCTGAATTCCTCATCTCCCACTCTGTCACTGCCGTTCATCGCAGCGTGATTGGTTTGGGTGGGATGGGGTTTCACAGTGTGGGTAAAATTCACCTCTTCTCCTGAGGTTCAGCAGAAGTTGATGGCTGAATGCCGTTAACCCAGAATAAAACCTTACCTGTCATTACACCAGTGTTTTGCTGGTCCTCTACAAGAGGGAGGAGGTACTCTCTTTGCTCATCCCCTGCCGTGACTTCTGAACCCCGAACAAACACCGTGGCTGCTGCAGGAACTCCAGGCAGACTGCAGCCCGAAAGCTGCCGAGCCCCCGATAAATGCCTCCGTATCCCACCCTTGCCTGCCTGTTCCACGGATGGGCATGGCCTTGCCGGGAATGGCACCCTGTGCAGATTGTTGACTATTCTTGTCTCTCATCGGGGATCGGTAGCAACATGAGATATATTAACTCACTTTGTGCCTTCTTTTGACATTGTAAAAATAGAAGCTGCATTAACATTTTTGTGAAGCTGAAGTTAAACTCCTCTGCGCTTTTACTTTGGTTGCTGTCATGACATAACGCTTACAGTGATTCCATCTGACAACTAATGAACCATGAATCCGAGGAAAGTTTAGCATTAGACATCTTCCAGTGATGGATTGTATCAAATAACCAATCCTCTGAAATCTGCTGTCATCTGGCTATCACCCTTGTAGTATTTGGCTGATAGTCCTGTAGTTGTATAACCTGAGACTGATGAGGAAATAAAAGCACAAAGAATTGCTACCCACTTAAAAATTTATAGAGATGGATTTGGACATTTAATCATTCCATTGCAGGAAGAGAGCTGCCTGGAGCTGCACGTCCTTTGCGAATTGCTCTGCTCGCCTGTCATTTCTCTCCCCCGTTCTCATAAATACCACTACATGCAGCCTTCCTTTACAATGAGTAGTTTCTTCCATGCAGGGTCTGACAAGTGGGTTTTGCTTTGGTTTATTTTCCAACACGTTTCAGTAACTGGTTTGATGTGTTATTGCTTCCTTAATAGTGATTTGGAACCCTATACCAATTATCTGTGTGTTTTATATCGACAGTGCGAGAAGCAAAAAACCTAATTCCCATGGATCCAAATGGACTTTCAGATCCTTATGTTAAACTGAAGCTCATCCCAGATCCTAAGAACGAAAGTAAACAAAAAACAAAAACCATCCGCTCTACTCTGAATCCAGACTGGAATGAGTCATTCACATTGTAAGTCCAACGCCTTGTAACGTAGTGTCTTTGTGTGGCTTCAGTCATTTATTTCAGTCTTGTTTGAAAACTCCTTTATTTCTCTCCTTTTTAGTAAATTAAAACCTACAGACAAAGATCGGCGGTTATCCGTAGAGGTCTGGGACTGGGATCGAACAACCAGAAACGATTTCATGGGATCTCTTTCATTTGGGGTGTCAGAGCTGATGAAAATGCCAGCCAGTGGATGGTAAGAGTTTCTGAAAAGAGAGGGAGAGAATATATCACAAAAAGTTTTAATACAGCATTTGTCTTCAGTATAATCTAGTCCTTTTTTGAGCTTTTCACTGTATCTCATGCTGTGAATTCACTGAAAATGCAACAAGACCTGGGAAACATAGGCTATATATAACAAAGAAGGATAATAAAAGAAGTGCTTTTCTTTTGTGGTGCTTATGAAACTTCTGCTGGAGCCAGGAGCTGCTGCAAACTCAATTCTGTGTACATAGTCTTGTGATGTGAATTTATTTTTATCTCAAATAGGATATATTCATTACTAAGTGTATCATGTTATATATAGCTCTGCAAATTCAAAGTACATGCAGACCTGTTTTACAAAATGCCACCTTTTTACCTACCAAGCTAGGGGTAGAACTCATCACACCTTCTCAAAAAGTGTAATTGTTCAGGGCTATCGAAGCACTGGAGGCAAAGGTTCTTCAGGGTTGATATCTCCCATCATATCACAGGATGGGTGGGAAGAATTTCCTTGTCCATTAAACTGCCTTGACAGATCATTTGGGAGTAAAAATCTAATTTTTGGTTAAATACATTCTGTTTCTGAGTTTGCTTTAGATCTTTGAAAGCAGTTCCTTACATACCTGTGACATTGATACAAACCACACACAAACAGCTAAATCAGATTTTAAATCTAACAGGAATATAACTGTAAAGTCAGCATTTTTTCTCAAATATTCCACAGGTACAAGCTGCTGAATCAAGAAGAAGGTGAATATTATAATGTTCCAATTCCAGATGCTGATGAAGATGGAAATGCAGAGCTTCGGCAGAAGTTTGAGGTGAGGATTAAACACAGAACGGTACAACTATATACTGCATCCATTTTTCACTTGATAACAAAACTTTCCTGTTACAAAGATAGATATTAGAGTGCTAATGTTTCTATTGCCTGTGACAGCAGCGTGTGCCTTTGGGTTTCTTGGAGACTGGACCAAGTCAGTAGCACCAGTATTTTTCTGACAGTTCAGCGTCTCTGCTATGACACTTATAAGTTGGATTTTTAAAATATTTTCTGTCAAGTATGTGTAATTTCCGTGTCTTTTAATACTTGCTGCAAAATCTGCCAGCTGTTATCACTAGTAACTACATTATTTGACAAATTAAATTCTCAGAAACAACAGTATTTTTATGCCTGGAATGTTTCGCCCTGTTTCACACTAAATGCCTTTCTTTTAAGGAAAATATTTACAGTGTTAATTGCTGATTATTTGGAGACTCAGTATCTTCGTAGACGGTTGTCGTCTGAAACTGTGGTGTCTTTAACGTGGCTGTGCAGGCTGTAAGGGTGAGAGGTGTTGCTGCTCAGGTGCAGGAGGGAAACACTGAAGAAGAGCGATACTTTCCGCAGTCTTCCTGCCTTCCGTGGTGCAGATCGGCGTGGTTGGTATCACAAGCATGGTCTCGCTGTGCCGTACAAAGGAGTTGTTTCTTAGTGAACAGACTTGGCCAGCAGCTCTGCCTCTTCTGACAGGCGCAGCCGACACTGCAGCAAAAGCTTACTGGCCATTAAGCCCGGCAGCACCATGGGCATGGTGTGGGAGGGAGGTGTTTGGCTAAAGGCTGTGCTGGATTCCGCTCACCTGACCGGACTGCTCTTCCCAGCTGCACACACGATACTGAATTTGAAATATTCCAAGCTACAGGATTATTCTCTTTTTTTCTGGTTGAACATTTACAACTTTAGTCCAGCTGTTTGTCCATAAAGTAATTAATGTACCTGTTGTGCATAAAGAAACACTTATGCCTGTTCCTTTCAACCTGAAATGGCAATTTTTTATGTTCACCATCAGGCAGAATTCTACATTGTTATTATTAAAGATGGGTTAACCCAAGAAAGTGAGGAAAAACGGCACATGTTCAACTTTCAAGAAAGAAAAAGAAAAGGTGCATCAATTTCTTCTGAACACATGTGGATCAGCTCCCATACTTTTGTCTGCAGCATGAACTATTATTTTTGTTATACATTTGAGAAGTATTTGAATCTCCATTCCATTTTCCTTTCTTTACAGTTGTGATCTGACCAGTGTGATTTTATTTTGCTGCACTAGGTCATTTTCTATTCAGGATCATATTAACTTTTTATCCTCCCTAGAAAGAATAGCTTCAAAAGCAATTCTTTTCGCCCTTTACATCTCTCTGTGCAATACACAGAGTCTGGAATTGGGTGGATATGTATACATTGGTGATACAGGTATAGAAATCTACCTGTTTTTTCTCAGGACAGACAGCACAAAGACAAGTCACTGAAATTGTCTAAGTAAAAATGTCAGTTATTATATGCAGTATGTTTGCATATAGAATTTACAATCTCTCAGGTTTTTCCTTAAGCCTACTGTAAATACACTAGTTACAGAATGAAGAGTCAGGGTTTATCTGTGTCCTGCAATCAAGTGGTGTAGAAATCCTGAGAGGTTCCATCGTGTAAAGCTACTGGATGGCGTCCCAGAAACAGCAGCTTCACATAGACTCAGCTCTGCCTCAGAAATGATTAGCCTGTCTCAAAGTCTAATTAGTTCAGCTTCAGCACTGTGTATTTGAGGCTTTCCCTGTTCTGGAGGTAGCCTGGTTGCTGCTATTTTAGTGGTCTGAATTAATCAAGGAAAGGGAATAGGTTTTAGTGAAGAGTGTCTCCAGGAATATCGTTTACAGAGTTGCATAATGAGCAGTTTTAAAACTTAGTGATGATATATGGGAATATTGGTAGCCGAACAAAATGTGTAATTATAACTAGACCAAGGCTAGTATAATGCAGTATCACATGGTAAAGTGTTTTGGGTTCAACCTCCTACTCTCTCGCAGAGTTTACCACTGTGAGAAGGAACAGAGGGAAGCAGCACCTTCCAAGTAATGCTCGTACTTGGCTTCAAGGGGAAGTTCTGTCATGGCTTATAAAATTAACAGCACAGATGTCTGAATGGTGGTATTTAACTTATTAGTTATTCTGGTGTGGCACGTAAGTGGTGCTGACTCTGATCGCCTTTTGCGTTACTTTTCATATCATTTTTATCTTGGCATTTTATTTTAGGTACTAAGGAACAAGTAGATAGCACTGAGAAATATGCAGCTATTTGTGATTTAATGACATCATCTAAATAAATATTTCCACTGTTCCGAAATCAGCTTTGAAACCTTACAGGAAGAGGATTGCGGGTCTTGACTACCGGTTTAGTAGGGGCGTGTATTTGTCGGGAAGATTTAGGATACAGATAGACAGAGAGGTCATACTGGGCTATCTGCTCGTTTATCAGCTTATAGAAAAGAGTAACTTCAGAGTGCTTGCTAATCAAGTCTGCATTTGTGGTGCTTGGTCTGCTTTTCAGCATACAACAGTGTGATGGATACCCAAGCTGCATTGGTTGAATTTTGAGTACAAAATGGCAACAATTTCTACAGAAGTGTTGCATTACTAGTATCAGATACTTAAAATGAAGAGTGGTGGTCTTCACGGTAAAGAGCTGTATACAAACCTCAGTTATACAGGAATGGAGAAACTTCAGGATGATAATTTCATTGCTTAATAATAAGAAAGAATAAGAATGTTTTCAGGTTATAAAAGATCAGAGAACCAGTAGATGTGAAATTTCCAAAACCAGTTTCTGGTCTTACAAAAAAAAAAAAAAAATTCTCAGACATTCTTAAAACTGACTTTGCCCTTTTGACTGAAGTTTAGAAATGTGCTTAGTAGAGTCTCCAAAAGCACTTAGGAGCTGCCTCCCATTTAAATCAATATCTGCCTGCGTCCGTAGTTCAACAGACACCTATAAGGTTTGGCCTCAAGCTCTCATTGATTTCAAACTGTTTACACAATCCTATCACATCCTTCTAGTTCCACTTTACAAACGGAGACTACTTATTTAAATGGGATTTAGCCACACAAATCTCATTGGTATGCTGCTTTCCTTGCTCTACCTTCTGGCAGAGATTCTTTACGTCATTTATTCAATGTAAATCTACCATAAAATACCTATAGAGGATTATAAATAAGTAAATAAATACTTTATTCAAACATTCTCTTCACTTAAATTGGTAATTGAACAGTAAAAACTATTTGCCACAAGAAAAAGTCTTGTTGAGGCCCATTCTGCCAGGTCTAAACCAGTTGAAAAATTGACACCTGACTTGTGCCCAGTAGTTTTCGATCCTACCCAACAACTGGGACCACATTTGGAAAGAAAGAGTTGAGGAGTCTGATGGTTTCATTAATGAAATCACAGAGTGAGCTCGCAAAGTATTTTTAGATTTTATGGCAAGTTTTCTTTTGATGTGCTGTCTTTGTCTTATCGCCATGAAGTTGTCCCGTATCTAGCAGTTAAGCTATGGCATGCATAGATGCAGTGCAGTGTTCTTCATGCAACAAATTTGAATCAATCTACATATTTTTTTCTGGATCTCACCTATAACTAAACTTACAAACCAATTATCTGCTCATTTAGCAGTGTGATCAAATCTGTCTTCAGTGATTTACAGATGATGCATCATTATTAATACTTAGAGATAAAAATATCCTCCTGGAGGAAGTGGAGGCAGGGTAAAATCTGTCACTGTTTTTCATTTGGTTCTAACCTTTGGTTGTAAATTTTCTCTCCGGAATGGCAGTATCTGTGGCCATCTCAAAACGAAACTCCATTCTCAACAGGCATATTCAGAATAATTGTAGCTGCTCCATAATTGTCCGTGCTGAGGTTGCCATGGGAACTCCCAACAGTCCCAGGTGGCTACATGGACCCAAACCAGCAAGTCTTTTAACTGCAGTGTCTACTATTTGTTATATACTTATCTTCCTGTTACAGTATTTTGCTAGTCAAAGAAAAAATGCAGAATATTGAAATAATGAAACCTTACTGTGTTTTCCATACCTGGTTGTGATTTGAGCAGTAATACGTTTTTGTCACTTAGGGCATTGTTCTGGGGTTTTATGTGAGGAAATGAAATGAGCAAATTCTAAAACTTCTGTTGTAGGAAGTTATTTCGGTTTTGTAAAGCCCGGTTTCCTGTAATTTGCTGCTTAATAAAGCACTTCTTGATACTTAAATATCACCTTAGGATAATAATAGAATAATACTGGTTTAAAAGTAGGCTGGTTAAATATTCTGTCTGTCCCCTTCCTTCCACATCACCATCACAGAAAATGTTACTAGAAATAAAGCAGCTCTTATGGTCCATATCAATGATTTTTTTAATTAAAAATAGGGCAGAGTGGCAATAAGCCTTACACATGGATACATTTAGCAAGTGCAAGGTCTAGTAAGTGATGGGAGCAGTCGGAATCACTACAGTCAGCTTTGGTAATTGAGGTGACCCGAGCAAGCTGTTATGAGGGAATAGGTTACTGCTCATACAATCTTCATTTTAAGGGAAGACAGGTAACGGTCCTCCCGGTCCATACGCTTAAGATGTCAGACATCGCCTTTGGTTCTAATTACCTCCTTCAGTGTAGCACTCTCTGTGGGTTTCACAGAGCAAAATCTCTCCCTTAGTTTCTGAGAGAGCACTCAGACTGCTGTCCCCACTGTGGGGATCCACGAAGGAGTTCTGCCAGACCTTTGGAGGTGCTTCCCTGGGGACAGACATCCCCCCTGCCGCTGTGCCCGCTGGCGTCGCACGTTCACATCAGAGATGCAGCTGAGACATCAGGTGCCAGTGGCTTCTCATGGCTTCCTGTTTTGTACCAGTCCACTTAATTAAGTGAAAAACAGTAAAATCACTCCACAATAAAATGACGTTACTCTGGTAAGTGCTTTTTCTGCATAACAGTTTCCAGTCAGCGATAGGAACAGCA